TGTGTTCTTGAACAGTGACTGGTTTCAGATGTTCATGATCATGGCATGACCTGCACGGGAACAGCAGCCCATCTGGAAAGGCTTGTGTTGTCTTAGCTAAACATCTATGCTCTGCATGGCCAAGCTGCCTGAGTAATACAGTCATTGACAGCCGAGGGGTGCTTCATTCTTTCCCATCATTGTGCTAAATCGAGCATTGCAGATCTGTTTTGTGACAAGTGTCCTGACTTGAGAAGTCATGTGTTAAATTGTTGGGAATGCAAAGAGACAGGGAGAATACCAAAAAACTTTTTTGACCTTAAATTCCATAACTTAGTAAGTTAAATGTTTAGGTCCGGTAAGATGGGGGAGTAGGGAATATTACTTTCACCTTTCTTACCTGCATCCAGAGCATGAACATTTTGTGCACAAAGGCGCATCTTATGTAAGTCCCGGGAGCTGTGGGAATAAGGAACTGTTCATAACCCCAAAGTCTTCAGGGCTAGAAAACTGCCCAGTGGCAAACTAACTACCATTCGCTTAGCCGCCCTCTAAAGCTTTGTTTTGCAATAAATGCTGGTATTAATCTAAAGAAAATGATTTATCATCCTCTGTCAAATTTATTTCCAGGAAGCACTGGCATATATGGGAGTGTATATACTCATGTACAGTCATAGTAAGGACTAAGACTTATGGTTAAATTAGCTCCAAGGTTAGAGAAGACTAACAGACTCCATGATTTGAGGGTCAGGTGTTTATGGGAACAGTATTCAATGTGGTTACCATAATTAAATTGGGCTTCAGGGTTGTCTGGCTTTGAAGGCAAAGGCTATTTTCTGTACTACTTTCTTATACTCCCAGGTGCCTGTCCCAATGGGGTCTGTATAGGTGCTCGGTAAATACATGGTGATTGGTTAGGGAAGGAAGAAAAATCCATGTTACTATTGGTTGGGCTGAGACATTGTGCCCACAATCTTTGGGTTCCAGAGTTGAAGAATCCTTCATTTCCTCTCAATTCTAATATCATACCCATAGGTGGCATATTTGTTTCACTATCTGGCTCTTATGACAAGGTGCTCTTTATCTTTGGGGTGTGAATAACAAGGAGATACAATTACCTGGGTATCACAATTGGAATAACCACTTAGAAATATCAGAGCAAGTGTAACCAAAGCAGCATGCCAGATTCTAAAGCTTCAGCAACTTAGCCAGAGTGTGATCCAGAGGGCAGCCAGAGCCTTCATCATCTCTGAAGTAGCCTCAGCACATCCTCTGTGGGTGGTTTCCTGGATGTAAGAAATAATAAAGAAGATAGGCCTGGCATAGTGGTTCATGCCTGTAATCCCAGCACTTCTGGAGGCTGAGTTGGGAGGATTGCTTGAGCTCAGGATTTCGAGACCAGCCCGGGCAACAAGAAAGGCCTTGTCTCTACAAAAGAAAAAAAAAAAAACTAAAAATTAGCCAGACGTGGTGGCAGGAGCCCGTGGTACCAGTTACGCAGGAGTCAGAGGTGGAAGGATCACTTGATCCTCGGAGGTTGAGGCTGTGGTGAGCTCTGTTCACGCTAGTGCATTCCAGCCTTGGTGACATAGTGAGACCCTGTATCAAAAAAAGAAAAAGAAGATAATGGCCAACTTAGGCAACTCGAGGACTGTTGGTTCAGGTTACACTAATCTAGTTATGGAGGATTAAAGGGAGAAAGGAAAGACAAAGCTAAAACCCATCGTGTGAAAAAAAGAAAAAAGAGAAAAAAACTGTCCTTTGTACATTGTGGAACAGAGTTGTCCCTTTATAAGCTTACAGTAAGAATTACTTTTTCTTTTTTGAGGTGGTGTCTTGCTCTCTCACCTAGGCTGGAGTGCAGTGGTGTCATCTCAGCTCACGGCAACCTCTGCCTCCCAGGTTCAAGCAATTCTCCTGCCTCAACCTCCTGAGTAGCTGGGACTACAGGTACACACCACCATGCCCAGCTAATTTTTGTATTTTTGGTAGAGTTGGGGTTTCACCATGTTGGTCAGGCTGGTCTCGAACCCCTGACCTCAGGTGATTCACCTTCCTTGGCATGCCACCACACCCAGCTGAATTACTTTTTCTTTAAGTATGGGCTCCTGAATATTTCCCATATTTTCCTCCTACTGGAATTTATAGAGCCACTGAATGTTAACAATGGATGGGCCCTCACTCATCAGTATCTCAATATGTCATTGTAAAATGATTTAATAGGCAGGACCCCTTCCAGTATAAGTAGCAGAAACCAAACTCAAACTAACAACTGAAAAAGGGAATTTAGGCCCGGCAGGGTGGCTCATGCTTGTAATCTTAAAACTTTGGGGGGCTGAGGCAGGTGGATCACTTGAACCCAGGAGTTTGAGACCAGCCTGGGCAACATAGCGAGACCCAGTCTCTACAAATTTTTTTTTTTTTTTAATTAGCATAGCATGGTGGCATGCACCTGTAGTCTCAGCTACTCAGGAGGCTGAGGTGGGAGGATCACTTGAGCCCAGCAGATCAAGGCTACAGTGAGCCATGATCATGCCACTGCACTGCAGCCTGAGTGAGAGAGCAAGATGCTGTTAAAAAAAAGAAGAAGAAGAAGGAATTTATTTATTAACAACTAAAAAATCCAAAGAGATATCTGGTTTACATATGGTTAGATGTAGGAGCTTAAGCCAAGTTTTTAGGATTCTATGTTTCTCCACCTGCTTTCCTTTGTGTTAACTTCATTTTTAAGCGGTGCCTTCCCACACAATTGCAGCAGCTCCAACCCAAGTTCCAGGGCTGACTCTGATTGGCCTGGAGTAGTCAACTCCTGAACCAGTCACTGAGACTGTGGACCCTCAGCTGGACAGGGAGTCAGCAGCACCTGAACCACCTGGACTGAGGGTAGAAGAAAGTGATCCCCAAATGAAAATTGAAATGCTGTTATCAGAAGGGCAGTGGATACAGTGTGGAGGTTGGAGAGGAAAGAAGTCCTCTGTTGGATAAAAGGAGTTCCAAAGATGCATTATTTTTTTCCACAAAGCTTGGGGTTTCCATGGAAAAGACATTGGTACATGAACAGCAAGAAGAGTGATTGCTTTTCTCAGTTCTCCCTGTATATTAGTCCATTCTCACACTGCTATGAAGAACTGCCCAAGAATGGATAATTTATAAAGGAAAGAGGTTTATTGACTCACAGTTCCACGTGGCTGTGGAGGCCTCAAGAAACTTACAATCATGGTGGAAGGGAAAGCAAACATGTCCTTCTTTGCATGATGGCAGGAAGAAGTGCCAAGCAAAAAGAGAAAAGCTGCTTCTAAAACCATCAGATCTCATGAGAACGTGCTCACTGTCAGGAAAACAGCATGAGGGTAACCTCCCTCATGATTCAATTTCCTACCACCAGATCCTTCCCACGACACATGGGGATTATGGGAACTACAGTTCAAGATGAGATTTGGGTGAGGACACAGCCAAACCTTATCACCCTGCCTAAGTTAAAGGCAACAGACCCACACACAGTGAAAAGCAGACCCCATGTGGAGGATTGTATTTTCACATTATATTGACATTCTAACTAGCTCTGGCTCTCAGGGTGAGTTGATTCTGCCCTGAATCTGTGTTGATTATTGGTAGCTGAGGTTCTGAAGTTGTTGCAAAGACACCTGGGGTGTGGCCACCAAGATATAAATGCAGTAGCATTTCTATTATGTACTCTCATGTGGAGAAGAAAATCCCTCTGGCTTGGCCCCATTTTGAGTGGTAGATCTTAAGGCCAGGACGTTTTTTTTTTTTTTTTAAACCAAGGAGTATAGCTAAACCAGCTGCCCCATCTAAGTAAAGGTCTTTGGTAATTTTTCTAGTCCATCTGAGCTGAGCTGGAACAAGTTCTCTTGCCTCCCTAATCTAAATTCTGCGAAGCTTGTGGAGCCACTATTGTATCCCTGGTGCCAGGTGATCAGGATGCAGACAACTAGGACCCTGCCCCAAGGAGGCAGAGAGAAGAGCAGCTTACCAGGGGAGATGGACCATGAAAGAGGAGCCCTCCACCATGTCCCAAAGCTCCTCCTGTAGCCTCAGTTCACACCCTGACCTATCACCCCACCCCATTCTCTTTTATAGCTTCCAGGTTTGCACGGACACATGTGGAGAGGCAGTAGAGCAAAGCCTACCACACATGGGCTCTGGAGTCTACCTGGGTTTAAGCCCAGGCTCCACTCTGTTCCAGCTGTTTGATCTTGGGCAAACAATTGATCTTCTCTGTGCCTCAGTTTCCTTATTGTTAAAATCTGACTAATAATACTTCACAGAATTGTTGTAGATAGACATGAGAGTTGTTTCTGTTTGAACTGTTCCCTGATAAGATAGAAACAGGTTGCTGTTCACATAAAGAGGTTGCTGTGCCCATTCTCTATTCACCATCTTTGAAGAGTGTTAATTATGCTATCATTTGTACTTTGGGCTGTGCTAGAGACCAGTGGAAGGGATCCTGAGCTCAGGAGCTTTCCATTTAAGCCCCAGACAGACAAACGGATAAATCGCAAAAGGAAAAGGCAAGATCAGTAGCACAGAGTAGAATGGGAGCACAGGAGTGGTCTTCATGTGAATGTCACATGTATAATTTATTCATTCTCTCTTGCAGTAGTTGTTACGGAGTGCCTATTTTATACCAGTCATTGTGTAGAAGTTCTGGGCATATGATGATCAGCCAGATGGGCCTCTGGCCAAAAAGAACTCATGGTTTATTTGGGAGCTAGATGAATAAACACAGTTACGGTCCAGTGCGATTAGTGTGACAGTGGGATCAGCATAAGATCCTATTCTAAATTGGAAGTTTATGTCAGGGCGGCTTCCTGGAGGAGGTGTTGTTTAAGCCAGATCCCCAAAGGAGCAGAAGTTAGGCAGAGTGAGGACATGAGCATGAAAGGTGTTCTGGGCAGAGGGAATAACCTGTGCAAAGGCCTCAGGTGATTGAGTGTACAGTGCATTTCATCATGGAGTCTTGGCTGTGGAGCAAACTGAATGTGCTGCTGTCATTGCAGGGACATGGAGAAGGTGGAGCGGCAGGCTGTCCCCCAGGCCAACCACACAGAGTCCTGTCACGAATGTGGCCGGGTGGGACCCGGACATACGAGAGATTGTTCTCATCGTGGCCATGATGACACTGTCAACTTCGAGAGACAGGAGCAGGAGGGAGAGCAGTACCGTTCCCAGAGGGACCCGCTGGAGGGCAAGCGGGACCGGAGCAAGGCCAGGTCTCCATACTCGCCGGCCGAGGAGGATGCCTTGTTTATGGATTTACCCAGTGGCCCAAGAGGCCAGCAGGCACAGCCCCAACGGGCAGAGAAGAATGGAATGTTGCCTGCCTCATATGGCCCAGGAGAACAGAATGGGACTGGCGGGTACCAGCGGGCCTTTCCTCCCAGGACCAACCCTGAAAAACACAGCCAAAGGAAGAGCAATCTGGCCCAGGTGGAGCACTGGGCAAGGGCCCAGAAGGGGGACAGCAGGAGGTGAGTAATAGACTCAGGATCACTGCTTATAATGAGTGCAATAATGTAGTGGCAATAGCTGTCCATTAGCGAGCACTTGCTGTGTAAGGGCGGCCTTAAACTCTTTACCGCCATTACCTATGTAAATCCCTGTAACAACCCTGCAAGAAAGGGTGATATTCCTTGACAGAAACTGAGGCTTGGAGAAGTCAAGGAACCTGCCCACAGCACACAGGTGGTAAGGCCAGAGTTCAGTCCTGGGTCTGTGAGCCTCCAAGGCCCCCACGCGATTACACCAGAGTCTTTTCTACTCCTCAGAGAATGCCTTGAGACATTCAGCATGTAAATGATAACCAATCTCCTCTTTTGCTGCTACTTCTCTACATCCAAGAAATGTTTATAGAAACTAGAGTAAATAGAGATTCATTTTTAATTCCAGGCACATACAGAAGTGCGTAGGCACTGTTGACATTGGGCTTTATCAGATACATTCCTTAAAGAAGATTTTAATTATTTAGAAGGCATGCATATCTTGCTATTTGCCAAGCACTGTCTGTATTTTATTATAATTTCAGATTAATTAGGACACATTTCTGAATGTGAAGAATTCAGGGTCACTAGCTTCCCTGTTGTCCCCAGAAGCCACTGTGCTTTGTCTTCATTATGAAAGACGTGACAGATTTCGCTCACTATTTTCAGGCTTCTAAACAAATCACTGACAAGAGAGGAGATAGCAAAGCCAATGTGCATTCAGAGAGCTCCCCAGGGATTGCAGTGGATGTGCCAGCATCCAGACCAAGTCTGCCACAGGCCTGATAACATGCTCTGAAAGGTCACACTTCCTTCTCCCTGTTGGCCAGGCCCAAGCTTTCTACCTGTGGATTCTGGAGGTGGTCAGTGCTCCTAGGGGAATAGTCTAGTCCTGTTTTCAAGTATGTGGGTGTGTTGTTCATATGTAGGTTGCTGTAGCCTCTTTAATCTGGTCCAGCTGGGCAGTTGTGAGAGTGGATGGTGGAAAAATCACAATGGAGCCTTCCTAAGTAACTGATAGACATTGTTGTGGAGCAGACCAGAAGAGAAGGCCTGTTGTGCTGTAGCTAAGACACCTTCCCATTCCCAACTGGGAATGACCAGGTGTCAATTCTGTTTGTTCACATTTTGTATCTTATTAATAAAACAGAAAGCTACTGTCTGAGGACACAGGGAAGGGAAGCTGCTCTTCTTGGTGCTGGCCTAAGTAGCACCCTGGTAGGTGGTTGTAAGATGACCTTACCGCTGAGCGAGGTTGGAAAGTTGGCAGGGGTAATGTAATGTAGGTCCTCATTCTCCAAAGTAAGGCATTTGAATTTTATTTGAAAAAGCAATAGGGAACCACTGGAAGGTTTTAAGCAGGTAAGTGATGTGATCTGATGAATATTTCACAAAGAAGGTAAGAGCCTAGGAAGGAGGCTATTGCAGTAGTCCATGAGGGTGACAATGGAAATAGGATGAATAAACCAATTTGAGATACATTTTGGAGGTTGAAACTGCAAAGGTTATAAGTGAATTCGAATGCAGGATAAGGGAAACAATAAGGATGATGTCTAGAATTTTGAAAACTTTATTTAATTTTTGTGGATACATAGTAGGTACATGTATTTATGGGTATATGAGATCTTTTGATACAGGCATGCAATATGTAATAATCAAAACAGGGTAACTGGGGTGTCCATCACCTCGGGCATTTATCATTTCTTTGTGTTATAAACATTTCAATTGTACCCTTTTAGTTATTTTTTATTTTTTAAATTAAAATAAAGATGTAATCTTGCTACGTTGACCAGGCTGGATTGGAACTTCTGGCTTCCAGCAATCCTCCCATCTTGGCCTCCCAAAGTGCTGAGATTATAGGCATGACCCACTGCACCTGACCCCTTTTTAGTTATTTTTAAATGTACAATAAATTGTTGTTGACTATAATCATCCTGTTATGCTATCAAATACTAGCTCTTACTGATTTTATCTAACTATATTTTTGTACCCATTAAGCATCCCTACTCCCCCCTGCCCACTACCCTTCCCAGCCTCTGGTAACCATCATTCTACTCTCTATCTCCATGAGTTCAATTGTTTTAATTTTTAGCTCCCACAAATGAGTGAGAACATGCAAAGTTTGTCTTTCTGTGCCTGGCTTATTTCACTTAACATAATGTCCCCGAGTTCCATCTATGTTGTTGCAAATGACAGGATTTCATTCTTTTTTATGGCTGAACAGTACTCCATTGAGTATAAGTACCACATTTTGCTTATCCATTCATCTGCTGATGGACACTTAGGTTGATTCCAAATCTTGGCTATTGTGAATAATGCTACAATAAACAGATCTAGAGAATTTTGACTTGAGCAACTGGGTGGTTACTGAGATGGGGAAGGATAAGGAAGGAACAAGTTGGGAGAAATCAGGATTTCCATTTTGGACATGTAAGTAGGGAGTTAGAGTTCTGGACATGGGTGGAGTGGAGTTAGCATTCAGGTTTGGCTTGGTTAATAGGTAGATATGGTGCTGTGCAGCAGATATAAGCATAGGTAAGAGACATGAGCTTGATGAGGAATGTGGTCCTTTTGGAGTGTCCAGGTAGAAATGACCAGGAGGCTATAGGGAATGTGGGTACAGGGTGTAGAGGGATTCTAGAGTCATTGCCTTAGAGATGGTAACTAATGCCCTGGCAGTAGTTGAGATTAACCAGGGTGGAATGCTTAGAGCCATGTTTCTTAATCCTATCTGCATGGTTTGATCATTTGAGACCCAACCCCAGAGATTTTGATATAGTTGGTCTGGGGTGAGGTCAAGCCATCAGTATGTTTTCAAAGCTCCTTAGGTTGGCCAGGTGTGCTGGTTGATGCCTATAATCCCAGCACTTTGGGAGGCTGAGGTGGTAGGATCGCTTGAGTCCAGAAGTTTGAAACCAACCTGGGCAACATAGCAAGACACCATCTCTACCAAAAAAATTTTTTTTTATTTTTTAAGTTACCTAGATGTGGTGGCATGCACCTGTGGTCCCAGCTTCTTGGGAGGCTAAGGCAGGATGATCACTTGAGCCCATGAGTTCAAGGCTGCAATGAGTTATGACTGTACCACTGCACTCCAGCCTGGGTGATAGAGCAAAAACCTCTCTCCAAAAAATAAATAATAAATAAATAATACATACATACAACTCCCTAGGTGATTCTAGTGCATGTCCACAGTCAAGAAACTGTTGCTAGGCTGCACATTGGAATCACCTAGAGAGTTTCAACATTCGGTGAGGCCTTAGTCCCCTGAGCAGAAATCTGACTCCATTGGTCTGGGTTGCAGCCTGGACATAAGGTTTTTAGGAAGCACATTTTCCCCTGTCCCTCCTCCCACAGTGATCTAATGGGCAGCCGGGACTAAGAATCCTCAACTGAGAGAGCACAGTCGCAGAGGGCCAACAACAGAACACTGAGGACCCCTAGCCTAAGGGTCAGGCAAAAACTAAGTCACTTGAAGGAGATGAGGAGAAGATGGGGGAGGAAAACTGGAGGTTCTGTGGGGGAGAGTTTCAGTTGGAAGGAGGCCAGGCAGCAGTGCACGGTGCTGCAGGTAAGGACTTCCACCTGGCTGTGGTGCTGCCTTTCCTTTTTTTTGTTTTTTTGTTTTTTTTTTTTTTGCTACCAAAAGCAGATACTTGAGACGTAGTACCTTTCAAGGAGGCTGAGCACCCCTGAAGGAAAGTCCAGAACATGGCGGGTCTTTTGCTCGGTAGCAGAAACCCTTTTTCCACTGAGCTGCTTGAGGGGCTTAGATGGGCAAACCTGAATTGCCATCCTTAATAGAGCTACAGTGTCAAAGTTAGCTCAGGAGGCAGAGTAAAAGGAGGCATTGAAATCAGTAAGACAGCATGGCCAGTGAGAAATCCTTCATGGCAGGGGCACAGAAAAAACTGTCAAAAGCTGGGTGACTGATATGCAGTGATAAGTTGTCAGTTATGAAATGTCTCTACATAACTGCTCCAGTAGCCTGTAAACCATGTTATTCTACTACACATAATGGCCTGAATTTGAGAGCTGGGAGTGGGGTGTGCATCAGAGACCTAAAGAATGAGAAGTTTACAGGGAAGTAAGAGGTGGGTGGGGAGGGCACAGGACTTTCCCTGGGATGCAAGATGGGGATTTGAGCCATTCTTATCTAAGGGGCAGAGAGACATCAGGTCTGTAGAGGAGAACAGCTCATTGGCTTTGGAGGTCACTGAGCACACAGTGAGAGGAATTTCATTCTAGTAGGGGAAGCAGATCTCAATGGGCTAGAAAGTGAATAAAAGTGAAGAACTGAAGACAGAAGATAGAACAGAAAATGCTGTCAATCTTTAAGTGAGCAAAGTGTCTCCGTCTCTGATCATTCTCTTGTATTTTAAAAGGCCTGCCTCTTATAGTCCCAGGTATTTTTTTTCTTAAAGATATATTTGTAGTCTCTTACAGTAAGTCATAATAGATCTGGCTGCTGAATAAAGGAACCTCCTCCATTTTCCATTTGAAAATATATGAGATAGATATCTCTGTTTTGCATATCATCAAGACTGCTAATCTCATTAGACTGAGCACATTAAGACATTGGGAGGAGGGTTATTTGAACTGCAATATGATCCTGTATTTTTGGCTTTAAACCAACAGGGAATTATTTCTAATGGGAGATACATATTTCACATCATTAAACTTTTTTAGAATATGGTTTGTGGGAGACAGACTGACATACTCCTAGAATCTTACTGTATTTTAAGAGCTTGTTTTGAAATTTTAGGCTTTCATTTTCCCACCCTGACCTCCCAGTGTTTAACGTAATGCATACTTGTAAAATAGAAAGGTTGGGGTGGGGAATAGAGTTAGGATCAGGAGATTCAAACACTACAGTATAGAACAGAGTAGAAAGTGGGAGTCCTGTGTGATTGGAAGTTAGGTTGAAGAACATCTGCTGAGTAAAGTATAATAATTGGTCGTAAAAAATGATACTGCATTTCCACATGACCATTTCTGTAGTGGCTGTATCAGAATATCTTGTTTAGTGCCTGTTCAGTGACAGGGAGGCCCTGTGGCTACAGAGCATGGTGTGAGGAGACCTTGAGCCCAGTTTTTGGGTAAGACCGGAGGTTGGGGGGCCAGCAAATGGATCTGCTGTTAGGGGCAAAGCTACTCTGGAAGCTCCCACTTGCTCCCATGGGGTGTATACCTCAACCACAGTACCACCTCCTCCTGTGTTCCTCCTCCATAGTCAGTTACCTTGTTTTGGCCCCTGGAGCCAGGGCTCACCATTGTACCGGTACCTTGGGGTCACTCCGAAATGGCAGACTATGTGTAAATGGAGGGTACAGCTTAGAGGATGAGCTCGGGGATTTGGGGTGCTGCTAGCGGGGCAGTGGAGAGGTGAGGGTGGACTCTGACCTTCCAGGCACTGTAGGCAGGCAAGGGAGTGAGCTGCAGAGCCAGCCGGGAAGGGCGTATGGGTGGGAGCACAGCTCTGAAATGCTTTGCATAGTTTGCATTTTGCTTCTGACAGAATGAACAATGGTTAGTCAAATCCCGAACTCCCCAGAGGAAGCCTCCAGCCTGGTTTCCGCCACCGCTACCACCTCTGTTTTGAGGATTCAGGCACTGCCCCGTCTCAGAGGCACATTCGTGTCTAACTTTGGGAAATCAATAGCAAACCCTGCCACCTAGTGACAGGCTGACTCACTTGGCAGGCGCGACAAGTAGGTTGAAGAGATCTTAAAGTTATCTCCTGCAATGGCAAAGATAGCTTTATTTGAATGACAACTATTTCAAATCCTCACAGCAATTTTCAAAGTGGTTCTTACTATCCCCATTTTGTAATAAGGAAAGTGAGACTTAGAGGGCTTGGATGATACTTGCCTGAAGTCATATAGCTAAAGTGAATAAATGAGTTGAGTTTTAAAACAATTAGAACAGTTTCTCAAACTTTACAGAGCACTAGAATCTCCTGGAGGGCTTGTTAAGACACTGATGCCTGGGCGCCATCCCCTGATTAGGTAGGTCTGAGGTGGGGCTGATAACAAGCATTTAAAAAATATATCTTATTTTTAATTGACAAATAATAATTATATGTATGGGATAGATGTGGTGTTTTAATATATGTATACATTGTGAAATGATTACATCAAACCAATTGACATATTCATCACCTTATCTGCTTATTCTTTTTGGTGATAAGAACATTTAAAATCTACTTTTAGTAATTTTGAAATATACATTATTATTAACCATTGTCACTATGCCTGTGCTGTAGGTCACCAGAACTTACTCCTCCTAACTGAAACTTTGCACCCTTGGACCAACAGCTCCTCTTCCATCTCTCTTATCCCTCCCAAACCTCTGGTAACCACCTCTCTACTTTGTTCTTCTATGAGTTTGACCTTTTTAGATCCCACATATAAGTGAGGTCATACACAGTATTTGTCTTTCTATGCCTGGCTTATTTCATTAACCTGCATTTTAAACAAGTCCCCAGGTGGTGCTGATGCTGGTGGCACACAGGCCACACTTTGAGTAGTGTTGGCTTGGAACAATGTCTGGCACAATGTCAGCACCAAATAAATGTTAGATAAAATTGATAGGTGAAGGCGGAGTCAGAATTGACCTCAAGCCTGTCTGACTATAAAACTTGTTTTCTTTTTACAACACCATGCTGCCTCTCAGGCTTAGTAAAATTCCATACTTCGTCCCTTGCTTAATTTTTTTTCCTTCTCAGAAAATAAAGTGGAGGCTGGGCACGGTAGCTCATGCCTGTAATCCCAGCACTTTGGTAGGCTGAGGCAGGCAGATCTCTTGAGGTCAGGAGTTCAAGACCAGCCTGGCCAACATGGTGAAACCCTGCTTTCACTAAAAATACAAAAATTAGCCAGGCATAGTGGTGCACACCTGTAGTCCCAGCTACTCAGGAGGCTGAGGCAGGAGAATCCCTTAAACCCGGGAGGTGGAGGTTGCAGTGAGCAGAGATTGCACCACTGCACTCCAACCTGGGCAAAAGAGCAAGAATCTGTCTCAAAAAAGAAAGAAAATAAGATGCCTAGTTGGTGGTAGTTTTTGAAATCATATCCAGCTTTGTGTGCTGGAGTGTTTATTGAAGGGCTAATTATGCACAGGACTTTCTTAGACTGTGGACAATACCATGGTCTGAAACACAGTTCCTGTCTTTCAAGAATTTTCACCTTGGCCTGGGAAAACATGTCTTGCAAGTATGAAAAGATCACATCAATATAGGACCTTGGAAAAGTTACAGGCAGTGTGATAACTAGGTCAAACAGAGCTGGATCACTGAGGGCTGTGGCACTGCAGAAGGTCCACGTGGGAAAGGCATGGGCCAGCATCCTGGAGACTGAGTAAGACTTGGGTAAATAGAGCAAGGGGAGACCATCCAGGTAGGGGGAGGGAAGAACAGTGTTATAAGAGTAAGGAGGGACAGGAAGGGTACACACGTTAGTGAAGGACCTTCTGTGTATCAGACATGGAGATTGCATTTCCTAACCTGTCTCATTGATTCCTCAGAAGAGCCTTATGAGGCAGGTAATACTGTCCTCATGTTACAAGTAAGGAAATGGAAGTTCAGAGTCAGGTAAGCTGCCTAGGGTCACAAAGCCAGCAAGTGTAAAGCTCGGCTTCAAACCCAGGTTAGACTCCTACCTTTCCTTTTTCCACTGCAAGATATTGCTCAGGTGTGGAGGAGGCTGGGCCAGGACTAGGGTGGGGCTGACTGTCAGGCACCAGCACGTGCAGGGGTGACCCTGAGATGGAGTACTTCCTTCAGTTTTGGGCCCTAGGCATTTGGTGTGGCCCTGGTAGGAAGAGCAGTGAGAAAACAGCAGGCCTGCAAGGTGGGTTGAGGTCAGCTGCTAGCGAGCTGTGAGTACCAGGCTGAGGAGTTTAGACTTTATTTCACAAGTGACAAGGAGCCATGGAAATTTTTGAAATAGGGAACTGATTTGATCAGAGCACTTGACTGTGGACAAAGTAGAAACCAGTTAGGAGCATCTCAAAGTTATCTGGAGGGAGATAATTAATCAGTATCTGGTCTAGAATAGTCCAGGAAAAAGAGAACTGATGCCAGCTACTTCCTTTATGAACCTCCAGAACTTGGTGCTAAGGATACCAAGCAGAGAGAAAATCTTGGTAACCTGGAGAATTGTGAATTTCTATAAATATGCACAGCCGTGGAAAGAGCTGACTGCTGGCAGTGGAGAGAGAAGGAAAAGCCAGGTTTAATCACATTGCACTCCAATTGATGGGCATGGGGTAGCCAAGTTGTCCTGGCAGAGGAAGTTGACAGAGAAAAATGGTTTTGGAGTTGTCTGCAAAAAGGGGAAGTGACTGAAGTCCTGGATGTCAGCCTTGATCATTCTTTTGGGATTCTCACAGACTCTCCCACGTGCCCAGCTTTGTGGGTTTACTTAGGTATATTCCCCAAATCCTGGCAGAACCCTCACTTGGTGGCCTGACGTGTTCTTACCCTTTCTTCTCAGTCTTCCCTTGGACCAGACGCTTCCTCGCCAGGGTCCTGGCCAATCCCTGTCCTTCCCAGAAAACTACCAGACTCTTCCCAGGAGCACCCGACACCCCTCGGGGGGCTCCTCGCCACCTCCCCGAAACCTGCCAAGTGACTACAAGTACGCGCAGGACCGAGCCAGCCACCTGAAGATGTCGAGTGAAGAGCGCCGGGCGCACCGGGATGGCACCGTGTGGCAGCTCTACGAGTGGCAGCAGCGCCAGCAGTTCCGGCACGGCAGCCCCACGGCACCTATCTGCCTCGGCTCCCCAGAGTTCACCGACCAGGGCCGGAGCAGGAGCATGCTAGAGGTGCCCCGCTCCATCTCTGTGCCTCCATCTCCCTCGGACATCCCTCCCCCGGGACCCCCAAGGGTCTTCCCACCCCGGCGGCCACACACGCCAGCAGAGCGAGTCACAGTGAAGCCACCGGACCAGAGGAGGAGTGTGGACATCTCACTGGGGGATTCTCCAAGGAAGGCACGGGGCTACGCTGTCAAGGTGAGGCTCAGGAAGCTCTGCCAGGCTGCTGGGTCAGCCTGAGGGTGCCAGGAGCCTTGCCTGGTTTGAACACAAATTTGAGTAATTTGGGATAATAATGATAGCTAATACTTAGGTAGTACATTTTAATAATAGATGCCAGGCACAGTTCCCAAAGGCTTTGCTTTAAATTCTCACCACAACCCTGTGAGGTAGGTGCTATGTTTATGCCCATTTCAAAGATGAGAACTCTGAGGCGCGGAGAGACAAAGTAACTTGCAGGGGATCACACAACTACAAGTCAGCTTCCTTGCAGCTTGAAAGGCAGGAAAAGACATGTGTCCAGTCAGTTAAACTATTTATAACAACCCAGCTTAAGTTTTCACTTTCCAAGGGCTTTCACCGTTTAGTGTTCTAACTGTAAGAGTAAGATACGTGTGCTCATTTCATAGATGAGGAGTCTGGGGCTCAGAGGGGACCCACGTGGCATGGGGCGGGCTGCCCTGGGAGTGGGTGGCAGAGGTTTGGGCTCCAGTGTGACTTCTTGTCTTCCCGCTTGCAGAACTCGTCTCACGTGGACCGACGCTCCATGCCCTCCATGGGTTACATGACCCACACTGTCAGTGCTCCCAGTTTACATGGAAAATCGGTAAGGTGAATGACAAGACACAGCCTGCAATGCCCTATCTCATCAACGTTTTCCTTCCTCTGAGTCAGTACAATGCAGTCCAGAGGGCAGCTATCAACTCCCATTTTAGAGATGAGGAAACTGAGACTCAGAGAAGTCGAATGACTTGCTTAGGGTCACCTGGCTGTCACTGGGTCCCCAATGAAGGGGAAGAGCTTGTGGGGGAATGTAGGGGAATGTTAGGCTTATCTCCTCTTTCAAGCTGAATTTTGCCATAAATGTTTTCCAGCTACTCACCTTTTTCCGCAGGTAGTGCCTCTCCTCTCTTCCCTGATCTTTGATTAATTAATTAGTTAACTCTATCTTCAAAGCTTGAGTCTGAGACCAGGCATGGTGGTTCATACCTGCAATCCTAGCACTTTGGGAGACCGAGATGGGTGGATCACTTGAGGCCAGGAGTTCAAGACCAGCCTAGCAAACATGGCGAAACCCTGTCTCTACTAAAAATACAAAAATTAGCTGGGTGTGTTGGTATACTCCTGTGATCCCAGGTATTCGAAAGGCTGAGATACGAGAACTCAGGAGGTGGAGTTTGCAGTGAGCCAAAATCATGCTCACGCTGCTGCACTCCAGTCTGAGTGACAGAGCAAGACTGTCTCAGAGCAGAAGGAAAAAAAAAAGCTTGGGTCTGGGTGAGGTTGCACTGTTGGTTGTTGCTTTCCTGAAAAAACAACTTCCTGAAGCCCTTTTACTGCCAGTGCTTTTATTTGTCCTAATGACAGAATTAACGCAGTAATTGCTTAATGGTGTCACATCAGTGCTGTCCTGGCACTGACACCAGGGTGAAGAGCGTAATTCTAGCAGCATGCTCCTGTGGTGCTAACTTCCTTGTGCTGTGTCTACACACCTGCAGCTGGAGGAGCTCTCGTTGCTTCTCACCCGGTTAAGGCGGCACCAGGCCAAGTTAGCCAGTGTGCGAAATTTCGCCATCGGCCAGTTACTGCAGCACCAGCTGACCTTTCCCACCTGCCAGGTCAGCACTGGTGGGCTTCTCTCAGGGCTGGGGGCAGGGAGTGACATGCTGGCTCGTGTTCGCTCGTGCCCATGCTCTGGTCTGTCTCTGCTGTCTGCCTCTCCCTTGTTCGCTGCCTGTTTGCTTCTGGATGCTACTGCCAGATACTCTGTGGTGGTGGAGGCCGAGCCTACCCTGCTGGCACTGGGGAGGGGGGCTGCATGTGGTGTAGGGGTCCTAAACTGTCGCTTCTCTGGCTGTAAGTAGTGACTGCCAGGCTGATGTGTGGTCACGTTCAAAGGGCTATGCTGGCTGACAGCCTTGTTGCCCCTGTGGCCACTCCTTGGGATGTGGAAAGGACGTATGCGTCAGCCTGGAGGGAGATGCAGGGTGCCCTCTCTTATCTGGACGGTGCCCTGCTGCCTCACAGAGCATCTTCTCATCTCATATCCTGCTAAGCCTCACAGTAAGCTGGAAGAGGTTAGGTAGGAGAGGAGTCAGGACCACACACAAGGCAAGTGGAACCAGAAGGGGAAGTGACTTGCTCAGGATCCCTCAGCTAGAAGCATGCAGGCTGCAGCCAAAATCCAAGACCTGCATGACACAATGTTCTAAACTGTTGCAAAAACATTGGACTTTGCAAGCAAACTTCTCAAGAACTGGCTAGGGGGCTGCCCTCCCGGGTATCTTGAGCAGAAAGATTAAAGAAAAGGATTCCTCCCTGGGGTTGTCCTCAGGCAGGAATAGGTTCAGCCAATGAGGCTGGTCCTCCAGGCTGTACAGAGGTAGGCAGGGGACAGATGAGGAGGGTGACAGGACTGTTACCTTCCTTCCTTGTTCTGTTTTAGTGAGTTATGAGAGATTTAGGAATTGTATTCAGAAAAATGAATGTCAGTGCAAAAACTATCATCGGTTGTGAATCTAAGTGATCTTGAATAACCTTCTGCTCTGTCTCACTTCTGTAGCAAGTGTGTAGGTACTGAGCTGTTTGAGAAGAATGGATGGGTAAGGGATTAGTTTAGGGACACAAGACCTTGCAAGCCACTAGTGCTCCTGACAGTTGTCCCCCAGGCATTCCCATGCTTAAGGGCACTGCCTCAACTCTTTGTGTGGTTTTTCTGTGTGACTGTCTTACCTCAGAGCTGTAAGCAAAGGCCACCTGCCCCAGCTCTGGCTTGCTTGGCTGGGACCCTCTTAATCTGCTGAGAAGATGGTGCCTGGATTATTTTTCTTGAGCTTTCACAGCTCCTCTGCCTCACGGTTAGCTTCTGTGATCTGCTACACGGGAAAGCATACGTTTTAGGAAATCACAGAGTCTTTTTCTTATTTTCACTGTTTCTGGTAATTATACTGAAGAACTTGATAGATTGTCAGAGATGCCACAAACAGATGGGTCTGACCTTGCACCTGTCTCAAGTAGCTCCTGATGTGGCTACACTGGCTCCATGCTGAGCAAAAATAACCAAACTTGCAGGAAATTTCCATCAGTTGCTCGCGGTTATTCTGGAAACCAAGGTCATATTGGGACCTCCTGGGTCACCCAGGCCATCTCCCTGCCTCTTCTTGGCATCTGCCCACACCAATGAGCTTCATCTTCATGCATGTGAAGTGATCCAGACCAAAGGTTTGATGGATGGATTTGGAGCAATGATGACTGATGTGCTGTAGATCAGGTGTGGCATGTGCTTCTCCGGGTGGACCTCCCAGGTCTATCTTGGGAGCACAACACTGCCTCAGCTGCCCTAGCCCTGGGGTAGGATCCTCCCTGCCAAACTTCCCCGAGCCAGTGGGGGACAAGCTGACTTTCCCCACAGTGACCTGCAAGGTCCGCCTTGCTGAAAGAGGGCTCTCAGCTGCACCAAGACGTTTGTGCTTCCTCTGTGGCCCCTGATGTGTTGGTCTGCTGTGGTTCCTTGTTCCGAAAACTGCACCATACAAATAATGCACATGGGAAACCTCCAGGTATGGAAACTCTTGGTGTTCGTAACTGTGTTTTTCCCTCTCTGCTTCATTTGAAGGCTGATGACACCTACCTCCAGCTGAAGAAAGACCTGGAGTACCTGGATCTAAAGGTGAGTGATATCAGGGTTCCTGCCTTCCTCGCATACTCACCTTTCCAAGAGTGCCACCTCACTGGAGCCAAGCCCAAAGCCAAAGGCCAGACAGGTCTTACCCAATCTGAATTCTAAATCAAGATGTCTCCCATCTTGAATCAGAAGAATTTTATTTCTTACAGACTCATACTCTGCCTTTTTTCAGTTTCTTGTGAATTTTGGTGTGAGGTCCCTGGCTTACAGAATGAAGGCGCGAGACCTTGATCTCTTCCTTCTTTTGGTCAGAACCAAAAGGTCCCTCCAAAAGCAACCAGTTGCTTCTTCAGAGTCTCCAGTGGGGGCAGGGGTGTATGTTTGCTTCACTAATGTGGGTTTTCAGCCACAAGTGGTATGGTGGGTTCTTTGGTTCTGTTGCTAGGGGAGCAGGCTCCACATGGAATCGCATGGCTTTGAGGCTCACCAGTAGTCTCCCATCTCAGTTTAGGAGAAGAAGGCTGGGTCCCTCCCTGTAGGTGATAAGGCTTCAGGCTCTAAATTAGCTTTCTCAGCACAGAGAGAGCCGAGAAAACTCCTGTAGAGAAGGCAAAAGGCATTCTGCCTGGAAGAGAGCCCTATTGTTCCCTTCCCACAGTTCTCTGAAAGCTCCCACTGTGAAAGCACTTCTTACGCCTAAGCCGTGAAATAGACTGGAGGAATGTGACCTTTAGTTAGCTGTGGGTCTGAAAAGGTGGGTGAGGGGCCATGGGACACTCAGGCGACTGCCACGAGGGGTGGCATGCCTCCCTACAGTCTCCAGTGTACCTGGCTTGGGATATTTTTAATTCGGGGATCTTCATCCAGCCTCATAGAAGCAGGCGTATGAACGTCAGGTCTGAAGGAAGAAGACGGAAAGGGGGTCTCCCCATAATGAAAGGAGATCAGGGCCTTTGATCAGAAATCAGCCAGTGCAATTCTGTGTCTGTTGAACACTTGCTGTGTATGCAGATGACATGGGGAGATGCAGAAGAAAAATTGAGTCTGTCTGGTCTTGAGATACTTCCAGATAGTCTTGGGTTGGTGAAAGAAATTATCCCCAAATAACAGACTCCTCTACAATGACTAGGCAAAGATCTGTTTGGCCTGGTTCTCAGAGCTGAGATGGTGAGAATCTCTGTGGGTTACAACACTGGAGAGGCTTCTGGGAGGAGGTGGCATGTGTTTGAAGCCTTGAAGAGCCAGGGGGGCTGGGGTTGGTTGAGATTTAAAGGGAAGGAACAGTGAGAGCCAAGGAGAGCCAGGGCACAGTGGTTGTGCCCAGGGCAGCAGAGGGAGGTGGCGCTAGGTCATGCAGGCTTTTGACTCTATCCTAGGCTTTAGGAAAGAAGGTGGGTGCCATGAGCAAAAAGACCTGGCTTTAGCATGTGAGGAGAACAAGGAGCTTTCTCTCAAGGCCAGGAGGTTTTCTAACTCATATGATAATCAGGTCACACAGAGCTTTAGGGACTGCTCTAAGTATGGTAGTAATTCCTCAGGATTCACAGTGCTCAAGCATAGCTGTGTGGACCAAATGTGGCAGCCTAGCCCGTCCTCCTGCAGCCTGTGGGGATGGGCAGGGTTGTTCCCACCATGCCTATGGAGAGAGATCCACCAGCCCCCGGCCTCCACCTTCCCTGCGCAGCACCACATCCCCGTTCCTCAGCCTCCCTGACAGTCAGTCAGCAGCTGCCTGCCCATTTCTTGTCACCCCTGACCCAGGGCCCAACGGTCCACTCAGACATACCTGTAGAGCATCCATAGTGCACCTGGGCCTATGGGAGAGGCCTAGCATGCCAGCACCACAGGTGAGTATAAAACACAGATATACCAGAGTGTTTAGTGCACGGGGTCAGAGAGAACTAAATGTGCCTGAGCAGGAGCCGTAGGAAATAGCTGCCTTCTGGTTCCTGTTTGTATGTGACAGTGGAAACTTACAGTTGGTCCTGGAGTGATGCTTGGCCTCAGGTTTGTTTTATTTCAGGATCATAGAATTTGAGCTATGTGGGATTACAGAGGGAGAAACTGAGCCACAGAATGGCACAGCAGAACTAGGAGTCCCTGCGTGTCGACTCCAACAGAAGCTTAATAACAATAGGGGGTTATAATGTGTGTCAGTCACTGCATTTTACTTCTATTAAGTTATTTTACCTCCAAATTGGCCCTGTAAGGGAAGTGGTGGTATCATCTTTTAATGAACTGTAACTCTGAAAAGCTAATGAGTTTCCCAAGCCTACACAGCAGTTAGTGGGTATCAGTATTTGGGTGCAGCTCTCACCCTAGAGCCCTTTATCACCTTGCCCCACATCCTCTCTTAAAATGCTGCTCTACCACTATGTACCCAAAGGCCTTATGTTTTTATGGAGCTGAGCTTGGATTGTTATGCCAAGAAATATATTTGATGGGATAGAGAGAGGCAAGTTGCATCCTTGCTGTATTTTACTACCTAAGAGCTGCACACGATCAGAGCAATATGAATTATTATCCCTTTTCTATAACCAGGAACCTAGGTGTCAGAGAAGTAACTTCTGCAGTTACACTGCTGGGACTTGAACCCAGCAACTGACCTCATACCTGCCTTCTTTCTTCCATGCATCACACACTTTGCCTACCCTAAAGTCGTGTTCGTTGAATTGTATTCCTGGCATTGAAGTTTTGCTCTTCAGAACCCTATACCCTAGCTGAGTCAGAGGGGTGGGGTGTGGGGTTCACTGTTGTTGACAATTTAAGTTGTCTTTATGCTTCTGTGAAGCACAGCCAGGAAGATGAGGGTACCTGCTGCCACTCATGTGAAGCCTTTGTAGATAGAAAAGGTTGCAGTCAGCCCCAAAAAGGCTTTTGTCTTTGGTGAGGGATGTACCATCAGTGGCTCCAGGGCTATTGGACTCTGGACTCTTTATGACTGTTTGAACCTGAGATCAGGACTTCTCTGTTCAGGGTCTGTTTCCAAAATCAGCTTCTGGGACAGTTTTTAAAGTTGTGATTAGGGATGCCATATACTTCAGAATCACCTGGGGGCTTGATAAAAACACAGACCTGGAGGGTTCTCTCGAATTGGACACTCTGCTGCCCAGAATTCTGCATTTTTATCAAGCTCTGGGGTGATTCTTGTGCACACTAGGGTTTGAGGTCTATTGTTCTGGAGAAGAAATTACTAACCCTGGCTATGAATGAGAACTGTTGGGGAGTTTTTAAAATGAATATAAATGTCTGGGTCCTACCCCCGAGGGACTGTGATTTAATTGGTAATATTCAGGTATTACTCTTTAATTAAAACAAAAAAACTCCTTAGGTGTTTCTAATGCACATCCAGTATCGAGAAACACTGTTTTGAAGTAGTGGCTCTCAACATGGGATCCTCAGACCAAAAGTGTCAACAATATCTGGGAATTCATTAAAAATGTAGAATCTTGGGTCCCACCCCAGATCTGCACCACAAGAACCTCCAGGGATGGGGCCCAGAAAATCTGTGTATTTGCCCTCCAGCTGATTCTGATGCACGCTTAAGTTTGAGAACCCCTGTTTTAGGGCAGTGATTCTCAATCCTGGCTGCACATTAGAATCACCCAGGAGAGTGTTTAAGAATCCCAATGCCCAGGCCCCATCCCAGACCAATTATATCGGAATCTCTTGGGGTGGAACTCAGGCATCGGTATTTTTTAAAGCCCCCCCAGTGATTCCTGCTGTTCTAGATAATGAGGACAGTGTTCCCAAAAAGGAGCTGTAAGCATTTGGAACCATGGGTAAGACATAATCATGTAGATGCATCACAGTTCTGGTGGAACTTAAGGTTGGGTGGGGGTGAGATGAATGCATGGCACAACCCTAAACTAGTATCTTACAGAATGTGATGAGGGAGGACAAAAGAAGAAACAAGTTCCCTTCTATGATGTTTCTCCTTGCCTTCTCCAGCAGAACCAGGAAGGAAATGAACACTGAAATCGGCACTCCCACATAAACCAGCCTGTGCAAAGGTCCCTTCAGACAGCATATAACATTTTATAAAAAGGAGAGAGCTGCAGTCTGGGAAGGTCCCGTGGCCCATGCAAGTAGCATCCACAGTCCCATGGAAGTAGCATCACCAAGATTCAGACCTGGTTGTTTGAATTGCACAGCACACAGCATCCTTAAAGTTGTCCCTTTGCCAGTTCCCCAAATTCTGGCTGCTTCAAGTGTCATTTGATGTCTCACCTGTTACGTTTTGTTGTATTTGCCTTTTTGTTTGGAACAGATTAAAAATAATGAACCTTTGATCAACGTGCTTTACAAAGTGCTGAAGAAGTCAGCACGGGGCTGTCGGCCCAGGAGAAGCGTAAGATGATCTGATCCGTGTCTCCAAGCGGGGTCATTCCATTGCTTCTGGCTCGGTGCCGACTTCATCACTTGCTTAACCAGTTGCTCTCCTGACCGCCCCAGGCTTCCCGCAAGTCATTTTGCTTTATTTTCTTTCAACTGAAGCTCTCTTCAGCATTTTGACTGATGCACCAGGCTGAGCCTCTCATCTGTGGTTTTCTGTGACTCCATGTTTTGTGCTGCCAAGGGTGGGGGAGCTTGCCTGGCTTGCCACCAGCTTGTGTTGTGTTTCCATCATCATGTGTCTGCCTCCACGGTGAGGGCTCACCCAGACAGAGTTAAGCATGAGTTTCTTGGGAGGGAACAGCAGTTATTGGTCATCTTCCAAGAGCCAGGGTATCCTCAGATTCCACAGTGGCCCTGAGATTAAGGTGGCACCTTTTGGGGGCAGGGAGTTGGCATTTGGATAACAGCCTGGAGCTGGACTAGAATAAAATGCTACCCCCTGCCCATACCCTCTTTGATTGATGCAGAAGTAGGGATTGCAATGTGACCAGCTCTTACAGCATTCCAGGGGAGGATGCAGATCAGGAAGCAGGTGTTGTGTCCAACCATCCTGAGCCCTGAGAAAGTGGGTTGGGATGTGGTGGAGGGGAGGGAAGATGCCTGGGTGGCCTTTGATTCCCGTCTGATGGAGAGACTCTTTCAAATGGATGAGCACCCACAGACTTTTACTTTTTCTGATGACAGAGATGCTGGGGGGACCCAGAGTTGATGTTTTAAGTGTATTTGGACATGGCTGCAACAAACACACTTTTAAAAGGAAAATTAGATGTAATACAGTACACGTGGATATAATATTTCTTAGTAGCTTCGGCTCTCTGGAGCAGAGCTACATTCAGAAGCTTAACGGTCCTCTGAGCTGTAGAAACAGCTCTCATTAAGCCCATGCTCTAAAGCCTGTGACCTTCCGTCCATAGGAGACAGAGCCAGCTCACATTACTTTGACACATTCATGAACTCACTGAGCAAACATTGCCCGAATTTCCTCAATATGCTAGGCCCTGGCTGGGCTTTGAGGATACAGAGGAAAGGCAACCATCTCCACAGTCACCCCTAATTAGGTTACTCTCTGGTGAGAAGAAACAAATGAGCAAACAGAACTTTGTACTCTAATGTGCTGGGTGCTGTAGTAGCAGCAGATGCAACGTATGGAAAGAGCACCCTGAAGAGCACCACCCCCAGTTAAAGGGAGAGAAGAGATGTAAGTACCTCGTCTCAGTTGAGCTTATAGTCCTTTGAATTCCTAACCCACAACATCTAGTAAGCAGCACTTTTTTTTTTTTTTGACACGGAGTTTCGCTCTGTCACCCAGGCTGGAGTGCGGTGGCACAACATCAGCTCACCACAACCTCTGCTTCCCGGGTTCAAGAGATTCTCCTGCCTCAACCTCCCAAGTAGCTGGGACTACAGGCGCGTGGCACTGCACCTGGTTAATTTTTTTATTTTTAGTAGAGATGGGGTTTCACCATGTTGACCAGACTGGTCTTGAACTCCGGACCTCATGATTCTCCTGCCTTGGACTCCCACAGTGCTGGGCTTACAGGCTTGAGCCACCGTGCCCGGCCAGATAAGCAGCACTTTAAAAAGGGACAAGAGAAATCTACTTCTTGGAAAAAGAGGTAGTACTAATATCCTGAGAGGGAGAAAGAAAAGGTTGAATGTATATTCAATATTCCACGAAGGCAGCAAAGGGCATACTTTTAGAAAACTTTCCATCAAAAAGTATAATTTAGAAGATTCAGCTCCTCAAAATGCCGTTTTTATATAAAATATCTCGTTCTTTTCCTGATGGTGCTGGATAAATGAGGCATTGCTCAATTAGATTTTCTGCCTTGTTATTTAAGTATCAAAAAGACATTCTCTGTAAAAAGCTTCAGTGAAATAAGAGGAAGAGTTTTGCTAGGGGGGAAGAATCCTCAGAGTGTATCTCCATTTGAAAATTATTTCTACCTAGGAAATGAGCCCCAAAGGTCAGTCCCTTTGGAGAATAGACAACCTCCTTGTCCTTGGCTTTGATGAAAGGGCGATGACATAGAGTGAAGACTTCACTGCTTTCACCTGCTTTTTCTCCTGGGTTCCCCTGAGTTTAAAACCCACATGCTGCCTGAGAAGTTCAGCTGTTTGTGATTCACCAGGATTAATTTCATGCCCACCCCCTGCACCGCTCTCCCATTGCAGGAGACAGCACAGTCTGTTTGTTTGTGGATCGTTGCAGTCTTGTGTTCTGCAACTGTGTATATACAAGTATGTACACATAATCTGACAGTCTGAAGAGCAGAATTTGGCTGGAGTTCTATTTTTTTCAGGAACTCAACAACAGTGACCTACATGTGTTTCCCTTTGACCTACATGCAATTCAATAAGCGTTTGCTGAGTTTGTGCCAGGTCTTCTGTTCAGGGCTGACTTTACCAAGATACATAAAACAATGGTTCCGCCCTCTTCTGTGTGACCAAAGGGATCATGGGAATGGGTGGGGCAGGCGTGTAGCCCAGAATCAGTCCGCACCCCAAGGCAGGGAGAGGTCCTCTCCCTTGACCTTTGGATTTGCTCATGACAGTTTGCAGGGAGAGGTAGCATAGGACAGTTGGGCACATGAAGGGCTTGAGCACTGAGTGGAATGTTTGCCAATTTATTTCCACCCCCAATTCACACTGAAACTTCCTGGACCTTACAGATAGAATGGGGAGAAATCTATACCCCTCTCTCCAGCAGCTATCTGTCCACACTGGGACCTCTCTGCATAGTGCACACACAGCGCCTATCTCTGCCACTGTTAGCTCCACCCTCCATTTCCCTGGTCAGATCTGCAAAATAGAGATCTGGCTTCCCCTACATCAGGCACAATAGACTTGGTTCTCCCTGGCCTTGTCTTGGCCATGGGAAGGTACATCTGTGAAAGTCACTCCCCTCAACCCCTGCATGACTTTTGGCAAGAAAGAAATTGGGGGAAATGGAAAAATGGGATAAGTTAGATTTAGAGTCTCAGGAGTCAGTGAGAGACAGGTGGCATATTGCCTACCTTGAGTCAAGTGAGGGATGGGAAATGTAAAATCCCTTTGGCCCACAAGTTTGGGTGACTTTTGTGTATTGCTTTATGGTTTCCTTTCTTGTAACTTATACAAGTACAGCCTAGCCTCAGTTATGCAGGGAACAATTAAAAACCCCTGCTGGGAACTAGCCAGGTTCCTTTTTACCTTGGCCAGGTCTTCTTCCCAAATGGTAAAGGGTGAGGAAGGCTGGCCTTACCCATGGGGAAGTGGGCTGCTCAGAGACTTCCTTAAGCTAAGGCTTGACAACGGTCAAGGGATTTGTTTGTTCCTCTGGGTCTGCCCATCTCACCACCCTGGGCAGGGAGTAACGGGCTTCATAACTCGTGTTTGTTCCCAGGTTCAGTAGCACACCTCTGTCTGATCGGTGGCAAATCTCCCAAGATTCATGCTAATTTTTGACATTCATTTTAGGCAAATATATACTTTTAAAATTGATGATCCTGTAACTTGAATGTCTACATTTTCTTTAACTCAAAGGACTTACCAGCGTTACTAGAATCATGAAAAGGTTTTGTTTTTTTCCTAAAATGAAATAGGCATAGTATAGCCCAAGTTTTTGCCCCTCTCATGCTATGACCTACTTGCCACTGCCAAGGACTTCCACACCATCCATTGTAGGATGAATTTTCTTTCCCAAGTTCTGATCTCAAACACCATGGTTAAATCTCTTTTAAATTGTTCGCCTCCCAGATGACAGGCCGGGACCTTCTCAAGGATCGAAGTCTGAAGCCTGTGAAGATCGCTGAGAGCGACATTGACGTGAGTGAACAGCGTGACACGCTGACCCCTCATCTGCCTCCTGACGCCGACCCAGGGTGAACAGCTTCAGGCAGGGCTTGGATGATTCTGTAGCCAAAGGCTGTCTGATCGCAATCCCAAGGTCATGTCTTTTTCTCATCACTCCAGGCCCTTTCTACCTGTTCTTGCTTTTAGGTCAAACTGAGCATCTTCTGCGAACAGGACAGGATCCTCCAGGACTTGGAAGACAAGATACGAGCCCTTAAAGAGAACAAAGTATGTGTCAGTTTTGAATAATCTTGGAATGGGCAGAGGGGCTTTTTGTCCCGTCTTTCTTGAGACATAGGCTGGACCCTCATGTTAGTACTGAACAACAAATGTTAGCTTATTTAAAAAAAAAAAAAATGCACTGGGTGCGGCAGCTTATGCCTGTAATCTCAGCACTTTGGAAGGCCAAGGCAAGTGGATCACGAGGTTAGGAGTTCGAGACCAGCCTGACAAACATGGTGAAACCCTGTCTCTACTAAAAATACAAAAATTAGCTGGGCGTGGTGGTGGGCGTCTGTAATCCCAGCTACTCAGAAGGCTGAGGCAGAATTGCTTGAACCCGGGAGGCAGAGGTTGCAGTGAGCCGAGATCGCGCCACTGTATTCCAGCCTAGGTGACAGAGGAAGACTTCGTCTCAGGAAAATAAAAAAAAAAAGGCTTATATGTGATGACCCCCGGTCCCTGAACCCCCAGGAAGCAGGGTTCCTTTGGAGGAAGTGGCTGCAGTCATTACAGGGCAGATGCCTTTGCTTCCTAAAGCTCCTTGTCTCCTAGGATCTGGGCTGTGGAGGCAGCAAGTCTGGATGGGAGTGCAGGAATGGGCCAGGGGCCACCAACGTTGGCCTTTTCTATTCTTAAAGTAATATTTTCCTTTTACATTTTAAATTTGTGATACTGAAGGTTGATAATATACTCTTTTCCCTAGGAGGCTAGAGAGGATTTTTTTTTTTTAAATTCTTTGATTTATCCTCTTAGTTTATCCCATAAGGAGTTTAGACAGCTGTATTCCTAGTTTATAGATGATGAAATTGAGGCACAGAGCTGTTAGGTACTTTCCCCAGCCTACCCCCTAGACAGAGTCAGAGCTGGCATCAGAGCCCCAACTGTGGGCCCATATCTCAGCGCTGGTCCCTTCAGCCTTGGTTAGGTCCAGTAGTTTTGGTTCCTCGTGTGGTATGGGGAGGCCTCTGGGGACTATCCTCCTATCCTGCTGCTTTTTGGCCCTTCCTGGTACAGGACCAGCTAGAATCTGTGCTGGAGGTGTTGCACAGACAGATGGAACAGTACCGAGACCAGCCCCAGCACTTGGAGAAGATTGCCTACCAGCAGAAGTTGCTGCAGGAGGACCTCGTCCATATCCGAGCTGAGCTCTCCAGAGAGTCCACTGTGCGTAGAGGGTGGCACACCTGTCTCCCTCAAGATGAGCTGAGCGAGGGGCTGCTTTTCTCACCTCCCAGATGTAGTTGAGTTGGTGTCCAGAAGCAAGAGTCCTGAAATAGCAGAGCTTCTCCAGTAGCAGAACTGCCGCCTGACAGTAGATGACCTTGTCTGCTGGGGGTGACATGTCTGCCTGCATGTGTGCCTTAGGCTGCTTACCACAGTGACTTTTGAAGGCCAGTGACACCCAGTGGGCCAGATTCTCAGAGCTGCCTGCAGACTGTTCCCCTGATCTGTGTGCAGTTAATTCCAAGTTGTCAGAATCTCTGCTTTTTCACTTTTCAGTCTGTTGTGGTACAGGCCAGGACTGAGAATCAAAGCATCCTGAGGGTGGAAGAGGGAACAGTGCAGGTGGCCAGGGTCAGAGCACAAATGAGAGGATGCCACGCTCTTTCCTGCTCCTCCCTCTCTTCCACCAGGCCTGCCTGAGGCCTGCCCGGTCTCGGTCTCCTTCCCTCTTCCCCTAGCTGGGTCTGCATGGTCAGGAGTACAGGTGTTCATGAGGCCTTCCAACGGGGCAGGGGATAACTGAGAACTGGAAGCATTTTCTTGGCCAACAGGAGATGGAAAATGCTTGGAACGAATACCTGAAGTTGGAGAATGATGTGGAACAGCTGAAGCAGACCCTGCAGGAGCAACACAGAAGAGCCTTTTTTTTCCAGGTGATCTGATACCTGTCCATCCCTTCTGAGCTCTTGTTTTTTTTTTGTTTTTCCAAGAGCTTTCACCTGTGGGGGCTGTGAGCACTGCTCAGAGTCCTTCTCCCCCTTGGCCCCAGATGCTCCACCCCTATAAAGGAGCCACCCCAAACTCTCCCTTGAGGATCACTTCCCCAAGCCAGGCTGTGAGGAGAAGACTCACCCTCTTCCCCTTGCCTTGCTGCTCTCAAAGACAAACTCTTGGGTGTTTTAGAAAGGGCTTTACCTCTGATCATTTGGGGTCATCAGTGATCACAGAGTGATCCGTGTTCCTGTGGTTCTTGACCCCATCTTAGGCTGCTAGCTCATCGCTTAGACAGCAGCAGGAAGTGGCCATCCCTTCCCTCCCCTGATTCCTGGAGATAGATGTTATCACACCTCTACCAGAGGGAGACAGTGTGAATTCTGACCTTTGAGGCTCTCTGGTCTTGAGGCAGTCATCTGCATTTCTGGAGGCGAGGCTGGGTGATACCCATCTCTGTGACCCCGTACCACTCAGGAAAGCTGGCCTTAGAGCCCTGCCTCTTTACCCTTAAAAAATCAGGCCACCCTATTGATAGCTGCTTCTGTCCCCCAGAAGTGAGACAGTGAAAGACCCTGTGTGGTTTTTCTTCTTCCAAATTGGGTTCCAAATTGCCCAGTGTTCCCCCACTGTGGTGCTTAACCAGGTTTCCACCCCACCCTCACAATTTTTTAAGTGGAAAATAACCTGTTTTTTTCTCACCTGACTTAAGATCTATATCTTCTCCTTTCAGGGCCCTGAGATAATAAGTGTGTTTGAATTCAGCAAGCATTAATTGAGGCTTCTTGTGTGTGAGGCACCATGCTGGGCCACTTTTGGTGCTGGGCTTGCTAATTGATGAGCTAGTTCTAACCAAGGCTCTTCGTTTAAGTGATTTAATGAATATATTGACTCTCCAGACATTAGCCTCACCCCAGAAAGTTGAAGGAAATTCTGGAGGGGGTGTAGGTGTGTGGGCCCTGAGGCTTTTCCCAGGGCCTTGCTGTCCCTCTGTTCATGCAGAGATGGTTCCTAGAGAGCCCTGCCTAGGAGCATGTGGAGGAGACCCTCGCCTGTGGCTCAGGGCTGGCCTACAGACTCTCCCCAGCACTTGTCTATCTCCTGCTGCTGGTGGGGTTGTTTGCCTCCCATAATTTCTCTTCATCCACTCTGGCTAACACTTCACTATTCTTTTTTGTAGCCCCAGCACTTACCGTAATGACTTGAAAATACTAGGTGAATATTGTTGACAAAGTCCTTCAATTACTTCTGGTTATGAGTTTATAAAACTGTCTGCCCAGGTATACCTATTTTCTTGGGCTTCAGTGATCTGGATTTTTTTAGCAGTAATTTTTTTCTGCTTTATTTTTAGTAGTAATTTTTTTAAGCTTTTCATTCTTTGTTTCTGTAATTACACAAATGACAAATGAATACGTGTCTTTGAAAAGGCCAAAACAGTAAGAAGCAAAAACAAAAAATGATATAAAAGTTCCTCTTCCCCCTCCCCCTTTCTGCCCCTCCCATTACCCTCCCTATGTGAAATCAGTGGTGTCCGTTGGTGGCGTTGCCTTCTAGACCATTTTCTATGCATTTTCAAAAATATGCACATGCATAGATTTATTCAGGGATGGGAGCAGGTAAAAGGCTTACTTGAAGAGGATCACACTTACACATTATTTGGCAACTCACTTTTTTTCTGTCATAACCTGGTATCATGGAAATCTTTGCAGGAAAGTTAACCCCAAATTTATGCTGCCCAATAAACTATAAATTAATTAAAAGTAACTGAAATTCAAAATATATTCCTCATTTACACCAGACTCATTTAAGTGCTTCGTACCCACATGTAGCTATTGGCTACTGTCTTGGACAGCGAAGATGATAGATTTCTATCATCTCAGAAAGGTGTATTGGGCAGTGCCAGTCTAAGGATATTAAATTTGTTCATCTTGACTGTTACATACTATTTCATAGTCTGGGTGTTTTCTACTTTATTTAGCCATTCATTTTCTGATAGCATTTAATTATTTTCAGTGTTTTGCTTTTATAAATGGTGTTGTGATGAGGATTCGTGTAACTGCCTTTTCACACTTGTTTACAAGTATCTGTGTAAGATAGGCTCCTAGGAGTGGACTTGCTGGGGTTGAAATGAGTATACATCTTAAAAGTGGATGGATACGCCAAACCACCTTCTAAAGGGCTGCACCTTTTTACCTTCCTACCCACAGCAAATGAAAGTACTGGACCTATTTGCTCACATCCTTGTCAGCACTTGTAATCAATCTTCTTAGTTTTACTAGTCTACTAAATGGCATCTCATTTTAATTTGCATTTATTTAGTTATTAGCAGGTTAAATGTCTATTCGTAGGATTATTGGCCATTTGTGTCTCTACTGTGCCTTATGTCATGGCGATTTAACGTATAGCAGGCCTAGAATCCTTTTTTTTTCCCCTTCCCTCCAAAAAGCAAATAGATACACTATGACAGGTCTTTATCACAGATGCCCTGGAGAACTCAGCCCCTTAAGTTACTCTCAGATAGGCCAGCCTGGAGCCTGCAGCTTGATTTCCACCTTGCCTGCGGCACTGCTCACACTTTTCCTAAGTGCACAGTGACCTGGGAAGCTAACAAAGCCCTGCTTTGAGCAGACACTGTGCTAGCTTCTTTGGTGTCATTCTAGGGCGGGCAGGCTGTTAGAGCCCTAGATAAATCATCAGCACTGCAGATGCGCTTGCAACCCCATATGCGGATTCTCAGTAACAGGGCTTAGAAATTCGCCTCCCTGTAATCAGGTTGGCTCCAGGAAAATACCCTTTTCAGTCAAGACTAAATCAGTGAGTTCAAGGCTTTACTGAAAGCAGCACATAGGAGCCTTTCTACCCAGTATGGTGGGAGGAGGCAGGAATGAAAATCCACCACCTCATTTCCCCCAAAATTCCCCTCCCCTCATTATGAAGGCCCAAAATTCCATCACCCTTGGAGAAGGATAGGGACTCTCCAGCCTTTTTTATTCTCTGCTCTCTGTTCTTTTCTCACATGTGGGGGTGACAGAAAGGCATCAGCGGGGCAAGAGAGTGGCTGACAGGGGAGCTTTGCCAGGGAGCTATGGAGGAGGAAGAGGACTGTGTTTAATCCCTTTCTTTACCTGTTCCCAACACTCAGCTTGGGGACTTCAGCCCTAGAGGTCATCCTCTTACCTATACATGCCCTGGGCTCAGTGATATACCTGTTTTAGGGTGCTCATGCTTTGGCATGCAGCTGAGAATCAAGCCCATTATTTGCTTGCCAGACCTGAGGATGTGCTTTATGTTGGAGTGTTGAGAGAGAGAGAGTGAGAACTGTGAGCCCCCTTAGGACAGGAGGCTTTGGACATCTGTTGTCATGGCTGTTGGAAAGTATTTGCTCAGGGAATTTTACATGACTGGTCCTTTATTCATGCAGCATGGATGCACTGAGAACCTGCTAAGTGCCGGGCCCTGTAGGGATGAATCAACAAGCAGTATCGGGCAGGTCCGTGAGACTCATGCAGTGTGAGAACTCTTCCAGTTGAGGGGTAGCTAGGTGCCTTGAGAGGAGATGGGGTGAGTCCATGGGGTGGGACCAAGGCTATCTTCCCCCCATGTTAACTTAAAAGTCAAGAGAATACGACATTGGATATTTAAACAACCCCGTCAAGAGATAGCCATAGTCCCTTAACCACATCAGACCCCTCCGTACCTCTTTTAGATCCTCTTCCCATTCGATTTTGGTTGTTGCTTGTCAGAATGCACATGATCATGTAGCCTAGGTCCTTCCCCATTGTATGTAGATATGTATTTTTTGTAGTTTATTATTTTTTTAAATTGATACATAAAAATTGTACTCTTATTGTGTTAAAAAAATTAACAGCTTTATCATATATTTCACATGTCATAAAATTAACCCTTTTGGCTGGTCATGGTGGCTTATGCCTATAATCCCAGCATTTTAGGAGGCCAAGGCAGGAGGATCACTTGGAGCCAGGAGTTCAAGACCATCCCGGGCAACATAACAAGACCCCTGTCTCTACAAAAACTGAAAAAGAAAAAGAAAAACCAGCCAGGCTTGGTGGCATGCTCTGGTACTCCTAGCTACTTGGGAGGCCAAAGCGGGAAGATCACTTGCGCCCAGGAGTTTGAGGTTACAGTGACCTTGATCACACCACTGCACTTCAACCTGGGCAACAAAGTGACGCTGTCTCCAAAAAATAAATAAATAAATTCACTCTTCTAAAGTATACATTTCAGTGGTTTTTAGTATATTCATAGCATGATACAGCCATCACCATAATCAATTTTGTAACACTTCATCATCCCCCAACAGAAATCCTGTATCCATTAACAATCACTCCCATTTCCCCAATGTCCCCTCTGCCGTAGCCAAACACTAATCTACTTCCTGTTTCTACTGATTTGACTAGTCTGGACATTTCTTATAAATGGAATCATATAATGTGTAGCTTTGTGTGACTGGCTTCTTTCCCTCGCATGTTTTCAAGGATCATCCTTGTAGCATGCATCAGTACTTCATTTCTTTTTATTGCCAACTAATATTCCATTCACTACTGTATTTTTAACTAAACCTCAAATCTCGGGTTCAGCTCTGACTTCTAAAAAAATGTTTTTTGTATCCTAGAGATGGTGTAAACTCTAGTCCTTCCTTCCCTTCTGCCATGATTACAGAAGACAGTGCCTTTTAAAAAATTGTGGTAAAGGCCAGGTGTGGTGGCTCACGCCTGTAATCCCAGTACTTTGGGAGGCCGAGGTGGGCAGATCACCTGAGGTCAGGAGTTCAAGACCAGCTGGCCAATGTGGTGAAATCCCGTCTCTACTAAAAATACAAAAATTAGCCGGGTGTGGTGGTGGGTGCCTGTAATCCCAGCTGCCTGGGAGACTGAGGCAGGAGAATCGCTTGAACCTGGTAGGCGGAGGTTGCAGTGAGCCG